TTTAAATGCCACGGCCTACCTGAGTATTGTTGCTGACCATGTCCATCCCTTTATTACTACAGGATACCCATCTTCTGACGACTACTTCCAGCAGGATAATGCACCATGTCACAAAGCTCAAAACATCTCAAACTGGTTTTTTGAACATGACAATGAGTTCACTGTTGTCTAATGGCACCCAGTCACCAGATCTCTATACAATAGAGCACCGTTGGGATGTGGTGGAACAGGAGATTTGCATCATGGATGTGCAGCAACTGTGTGATGCTATCATGTCAATATGGACCAACATTTCTGAAGAATGTATCCAACACCTTGCTGAATCCAAGCCACAAAGTATTAAGGCGGTTCTGAAGGCACAAGGAGGTCCAACCAGTACTAGCAAGGTGTACTTAATAAAGTGGCCGATAAGAGTATATATATGTATATATGTGTGTGTATGTGTTTTCTTCGTTGTTATCACAATAGGAGAGTAGATGCATTAATTTTTTTCAGTCACATATTTTCCTAATATTTCCTTAAGTTTGTCTTACACAGAAGGGTAAGCATTTCTTTTTTTGACACACTGCTTTCATGCCTGACCTTGAAATTTTCTGTACAAAATTCTTTGCACAGCCTAGTGAGTTGTCACTTAGTGATGATAAACCAATAAGATCTATTGTCATAAAATGATCTGCTAACTGTAGCTTTAAGGCAGCAGAAAGACCCCTGGCCAGTATAGTGGTGCCTTTCCATACAACGTAGAATTCAGCTTGCACACTAGTTGATTGAAATTATACAGTCACTGGCAGGCAACCAAGCACACAAATAGAGTCCCTAGGATAACTAGCCAGTTTCAGAGTAAATGCAGTAAGTAGTTCTTTTACAAGTACTTCTGGTAGATTTCCTCAGGCACTATAGGGATGATAGATCCTTTATAAAGCATTAAGATAATGGAGTAGCTCATGCTAGCAGAAGCAACAGTAATAGCTATAGTTTACAAAAGTTTATCTGGAATGGAGGCATCAGATTTATCTATACTTAAAGTTGAGAACAAGGCTAATCACCACTATTCTTAAAAATGCCTCCCTCCTCCTCCTCTTACCTATTCAGCATACTCTGTATAAGAAAGATCTGTGTAAAATCCATTTTGTTTTAATCTGTTCATTCTGGTCACATGATCCAGGAGCCCTATGTCAGAGAGTGGCTGCTGCAGAGGAGAGGGGGAAGCGCTGACAAAGATTGAGGGCAATAGGAGATGGCGGGAGATGTTACTTAAAGGGAATTCACAGCCTTTGTTGAGCCCTCGGTTACACAGGGAATCCACAGCTGCTGGATGTGACTGGACCAGATTGGATCAAAAATAGTTATTTTCAAAGATCGTTTTATACAGGATCGTGGCATAGGAAAAGGAAGGTGGAGACAGTACATTACATTAATTGTAATCATCCTTTACTACCACTTTCAAGTTACCAGGGCAGTAACTTGGCAAACCAGTTTAGCAGTAGAAGTATGGAAGATTTTTGTGACCCATTTGCTTGCATTTATGGCACCATTCATCTTTTGCAGGGCACATAGCATAGTTTGCAAGGTACTGTGTTGAACCTCACCTGAATAACCTGAGTACTGTAATCTGCATTACAGTTTAAATAAATCTCTTGTTGGCCCTTGTTGGACCTGAATATGTGCCATATAAGAAGCAGATTCTGTATTCACAGACTCTAAGGTGCCAGTGGTCCCCTGATTGAAGGTTTTTGCTTACACCTCAGCAGTTTCACTTTTGCTTGAAATTGTAATAGCCTTTTTCCAGCGTTAGATTATGTTCCAAGATCAATGTTTCACTAATATGGGCCGAGATTGTTTTTGCTACTAGCTGGTCTTTTATCATCGTATCTGTTGGTGCACTAAGTGTACAAGTATTAACCAACTGTGGATCTACCATTATGCTATCCATAATGCCAGAATTTATATTTTTCTGCAACCACACTTATTTTAAGCACAGAGTTGTTAACATAGTGAGAGGCAGGGATGGACTGACCATTCGAGCACTCAGGCACTGCCCGAGGGCCCGGGTTGAGACAGGGGCACCATAAAATGCCCCTGGTACCTTTTATAGGCTTTTTTGGGTTTGTTTTGAGTGTGGGCAAGGACACAGGGGCCCCATGATTCCCAATTGCCCGGGGGCCCCATGAGTTGTCAGTCCACCCCTGGTGAGAGGTGTATCACAAATGCCATCTGCTGCCCGTAGAGTATAGAAAATATGCTGTCCCCCCTTCCAGCTACCAGGCTCTCAGGCAGTATATAAGTAAAGCATTTTTTCTAGTAGTGGGTAAGTCCTAATTTATCCATCCATAATATAGATGCAGATTTCATAACAGGAATAGAACTAAACTTGTGCAGAGTATCTATCTATCTATCTATCTATCTATCTATCTATCTATCTATCTATCCATTCAGTCGTATCCAACCCTTGGCAATTGCATGGACCATCACTTGTAAGTGACTTTTTCCATGAATTCTCTTAGTAATTGTTTTACAGGGTATGTTGCCAGGTCTTTTCCCAACCCCTACTATGCAGGAGATCCCACATGGCCAGGGATGAAGCTAGGACAATTTAGACAGGAGTCAATTAACCTACCAGTATGTCTTTGGAGTGTGGGAGGAAACCAGAGGAGCCGGAGGAAACCCATGCAAACACAGGGAGAACATGCAAACTCCATGCAGGAGGCACCATGGTTGGGAATTGAACCCATGACCCAATTACTGCTAAGTGCTAACCACTAAGCCACTGTGCCGCCCCGTGCATAGTATAGAAAGTATTATATATGTAACAACTGTAAAAAGCAACATCTACATGCTAGATGTATGAGCACCGTAATAGCAATGACAACACAGCAAAATAAACACTTACCCTTCTTTCTAAACTTCTTTGAATTAAACCAGTCTCAGAACTAAGAATTTTACACTGAGCATATGATGAAATTCACAATTCAGTGAAAACCACAAAAAACAGAGACAAAACAGATACTGTATGCAAATCTGTGATGGGTTATATGACCAGTTGGGAAGTAGGAAAACATGGGGCTAAGCTTGTCTTTTTTCAGCTGCATATATTTTTGTTTACATTGATCTCTGCCTATGCATTCTTTCAAATTAATTTATTTTTGCAGCGCTGTCACACTTTGAATGACAATTGCTTATTCATGCAACACTGTACCTAAATGAATTTTATATAATTTTGTGCAACAGATGGAGCTTTCTTTTGATGGTATTTAATCACTATTGAGTTTTTTATTTTTTGCTATGTAAAGGAAAAAGACTGAAATGACAGGACGGTACAAATACCCAAATGACTCCTTTTTTGGAAGTAGATAGTCCAAGGTATTTAGCAAGATGCATGGTGAGTTTCTTTAAGTTGCAATTTTTTGTCACTTTTTTGGAAAATTGACAAATTGAATAAATTATGTTTGTTTCTCACAATGTTTCAGTTTACCAAGTTATTTCTCACACACAGTTTATACATAATTACTCCCCAAATACATTTTCTATGCCTCTTGAGTATGAGGATACCACATGTGCCAGACTTTTTCACAGCCTAGATGCATAAATGGATCCAAAATCCAAGGAGCACCTTTCAGGAGTTTCAGGGGCATAAATTACACATCTAATTTTCTGACTACCTATCACATTTTTACAGGTCCTGGAACATAAGCACAGTAGAAACACCCACAAAATGACCCCATTTTGAAAACAAACACCACAAGGTATTTTCTAAAAGGAATGGCAAGTCTTTTGAAGACTTCTTTTTTTGAAGTTTTTTTGCAGAAAGCAGAAAGAAAATGAAAATTATTTTTTTACACAAATTTGTCCATTTAATAAGATATGTCTCACATGTAGCATGGTAATTTCATTCCAAAACACATTCTGCTACTTTTCTTGAGTATGGCGATACCACGTGTGTTACTTTTTCAATGTTTGGACTGATTATGCATCTGAAATTGGATCTTGTGTATCACAAAACTCAACCAACACTGTAGAAAACAATGTACTGTATTGGTCACCCCTGTATGAGTAATCAGTGAATATAGCTTAATGTAATGCCAACTATAGCAGTTTGTGTTCCTATAAGCAAAGCAAGCCTAACCTATTGGAACATGGCTGCCCCCAGGAAAGTCATGTTTACTGGCCTGCAAGTACAGGAGGCTGAAGAAAGGAAGAATAAAAGTGTGCCCGTGGTTCCTGTAGTGCAGTTTTCAGCATGGGGATGGCTGGGACTGGTGTTTTGCAGGAATGTAGTCAGTGAGAAGTGCATATGAGTCAGTTCAGGCAGCAGGCAGAGACATGGCCAGCAAACAGGTAAAGGATCAATCCATACAGACAGAAATGTGGCCAATAAACCAGTGAGGAACCATACAGGTAGCAGGCAGCATACTGCACAGGTAACATTGCACTGGAGTGATGACAATCAGGAATACCATTACTGGCTGCACTGGTCTGGTGACACTGCTACTTGTTTTTGTAGTAATCAGAAACACTGTTGGTGACTTAGACTGGTCTGATGACACTGGAACTACTGTGGTGACATTCAGGGATACCGTTGCTGGCTTACACTGGTGTGATGACACTGCAACTGGTGTAGCAGTGATAAGGAACACCATTGTTGGCATACACAGGTTTGATGATGATGATGGGACTGTTGTAGCAGTGATCAGGAAAGCTGGTTCTGGCTACGCTGGTCTGGTGGCAATCAGGAACATTCTAGTAGTGTGGTGGTGAGCCAAGACATTGTGACTGGCAGCACCATTAGGACTCACTCACATGTGAGGTTAAAGGGGTTGTAAAATCTTTTAGTTGAGCCACAGTTTTACTGCCCCTAAACCACTATCCCCTTTAGCTGCAAAGGAAGTGGCGGGAGGTGTACAAATACTGTGGCTGCAAAACTTTGCTTCTCAGCTGAGGCAGGCTTTATACTGTACCACCTGTATGCCCATCAATCATGACCAGGGGCGGACTGACAACTTATGGGGCCCCTGGGCAATAGGGGATCATGGGGCCCCTGTGTCCTTGCCCACACTCAAAAAAAAGCCTATAAAAGGTACCAGGGGCATTTGATGGGGCCCACTACTGACCCCGGGCCCTCGGGAAGTGCCCGAGTTCTGGAATTGTCAGTCCGCCCCTGATCATGACCCATTCAAGTGAATGGGGGTTCTTGTGCAAGGTCCAAGGGCTCAAAGAAAGTAGTGAGGAGGTGATACAATACCTCCTTACTGCCTGTCAAATGTGCTCTGAAGAGCAATTCAAACATGATCTTCAAAGATCATTGCACATGTGAATCTGTCCTTATGGTGAAACTATGACTGGTGTTGTGCTGATCAGTGACATTGTGACTGGCGTGGTGATAATCAGAGACACCGTGACTGGTCTGGCATTGATCAGGGAAACTGACTAGTGCAGGGGTGATTTGGGAGACTTTGACTGGTGAGGAGGTAATTGACAGCACTGATATTTTGACACTGTACTGCTGTGGCAGTGATCAAAGGCACTAGCTGGTGGCACTGACATACAGAGATATCAGAGCAGCCAGCCACTGTACATGATTACAGACACTATAGTTACACCATAGGTATGTGATGTTTTACTGTGTGCTGTGTGTGTGCTTTACTGTGTAAGCACATTGCTTTGTATTGCTCTGCTATGCCGGTAAGTGGCATTCTTCAGAGGAGACATATACACGGATCATCAGGGCACTGCTCATCAGTGCCCTGATTATCAGTGTAGCCCCATCAGTGCCACCTGTCAGTGCCCATAACTGCCACCTGTCAGTGCCCATCAATGCCACATATCAGTGCACATCAATTCCACATATCAGTGCACATCAATGCCACATATCAATGCCCATCAGAGCTGCCTTTCAGTGCTGCCTATCAGTGCAGTTAGTGTGACCTATCAGTGCCCATCAGTGCCGCCTATCAGTGCCATATATGAGTTCTGCCTTTCAATGCCAATCAGTGATGCCTATCAATGCCCACCAGTGCCACCTATCAGTGCTGCCTCATCAGTGCCACCTATTAGTGCCCATCAGTGCAGCCTATCAGGGCCCATCAGTGCAGCCTCATTAGTGCACATCAGTGAAGGAGAAAAATTACGTATTTACTAAATTTTATAACAGAAACTAAGAAAAAACTTTTTAGTTTGTTTAGCAAAATATAAAAAACACAGTGGTGAATACATACCACCAAAAGAAAGTTCTATCTGTCTCAAAAAAATTATAATAATTTTGTTTGGGTACAGTGTTGCATGACACAATTGTCATTCAAAGTGCAATAGCACTGAAAGCTGAAAATTGGCCTGGGCAGGAAGGGGGTAAAAGTGCCCAGTGACTAATTAAAAGCTATATTCCTACTGCATGTACATCTGACTTCCATCTGTTAGTTCCAAGACAGTGTAAGTGTAAGTGTATTCAGATTCAATGAGCAGAATGTGCCTGCCTGAAACCTAAAATGTGCTATTATGGAGTTTGGCTGCTGCAGGAGGAAAATAGCCTCAAGAAAGGGAAGTGAGTTGACTAATGATAGAGGAAGAAAAGGAAAAAGTACAAGATTTTAATACACCAATGTATTTCTCAAAGTAAATAAGTCATCTCTAAATAGGTATTTATAATTCCACAACCATGGAAAAATGAGTGCACATAAACAGCTAAAAATAGTTACAAGAATGCATTATTTATAGTGAGCAGGCTTTCTTCAATATATTATACATAATATGACTGAAAGACTCAAGAATGTACAATCAGACTCTAAGGAAGTGCCTGCGGCAATATTGGAAAATCAACAAATATTCATTCATATTCTATAAAACAAAATGAATAAAATCTATTCAACTTTATGCCAGATGTCATACATTTCAGTATTTGATTTTTTTGCTGTATCACACACTACTTAAACTGTCTTTCTCACATATGAACTAGAAATGCTGGAATGAAACAGTAACTTGTAACATCACTGAACCATATTTCAATTAAATTAATCTCCAATGACAAGTCACCCGAAAATACCTGAATTAACAAGCACAATGCAATCAATAATTTGTATAATTATGACATCTGTTAGTGTTAAATAGCCCATTAGTGAAAATTAAAGAACAGCATAACAGGCTCAGAAGCCGTTAAGAATCTGATAACGTGTTTAATTGAAATATGACAAGGACATGTTATGTGGATTAAATTAAGCTTTCTCATAAGAGGCTGTGGATGGGTAATTGACTTAGTAATGATTAACCCCCCAGCTTCTAGGCATGCAATTGCCAAAAAGGAAAATAGAAAAAGGTATGGATAAAATAGTTTTAAACAATAAAAAACAGTTTAACAAGAGGAACAAGTGATACAGTATATCTTACAAATGTTAACTATAAGTAAGATGTTATAAATAACAGCAAATTAAAATATATATAGTTTACTCATACCAGAATATAACATAAATGTGGTGTCCTATCGTGTGATTTTCAGAAAGCACAGTCGTAACAAGTAGGGATGGTCTCAACTAAAATTAATTCTTTCCAAAATTACCTATATGTTGCTGGTGAAATTTCACTAATGCAGAAACCATCAGTTTCATTCATTGAGTTCTTTAGGAACATGTTGCTTAAATATTTTCTTTAGTAAAGGTGTGTTTGGGGAGGAGGGCTTATTTTTTTTTCTTTTTAATTTTTGTACTATCCCATTACATTTTTTTATTTTGCTCTTTTTTCCCTTCCTTTAAGCAGCTTCAAACATTGTGCATATGGTCTACACCCTAAAAATCTTATTAAAGTACTTTGGGTGTACATCATATGACCTGATACTTCTACACACCTCTGTGGACATTCAGCTATTTTTTGGTAACTAATCTTAATTCTCGGTAAAATGGCACTTGCAAATTAAGTTTAAGCATTCAGAGCTTTGTGATGTATTGTTTCATAGAATGGAAAATTGTCTATAAGACAGTGTTACCTATGGCTTTATGGAATTTGCTGAGATCTGTGAACAAGCATAGTGGAGGCAGACAATATTATTGTTCATTTGATCACAGCCATCAAGTAAATGAACAAATTTGATTCCTTTTTAGTGTATGCATCCTTATTTATCTGACACTAACTTGGTCAAACAAAATAAACACATTTTACAGCCCAACTCTAGCCAAGAGTTTTTTTTTTATTTTGGGTAGACAGGAAGAGAGTTAGAGCCACTGTCAAAATGTTATTGCTGTCTGACTCAGAACTCTCCCTTCATCAGGGCTAAAAATTAGACAATAAAGAAAATACAAGTTATGAGTATTTAAAAAATATAAAAGTACAAATACCTTAAAGGATAAGTTTCACCTTTTGCACAAAAAATACATATTTAAGGTAAAAAATGTACATTCATTATTTTTGTCTACAGGAGCCTGTCTCCTGTAGACCTGTCAGTATATCTGCTTGCCCATACGGGATGTATGAGAAAGCAGATATACTGACAGGAAGATTCAATGAACTACCATGGCACTCCACAGTGCCGTGGTAGTCCATTGAGAACTACAAGCCAACAGCCGCTAAGGTTGTCAGGACTTGTAGTTTATTCATTCACCGAACTCTGTGAATGAATAACGTGGCCATGTGGGTGGAGCCAAGTTGTTTTTAAATACTGGCAGCTGGTATAGGGAACCTCTCCTCAAACTTCTTTTACGGGGGGGGGGGGGTGCAGCAGGAAGCAGCTGCAGCATTGGGAACATGTTACATGTTCCACCCTACTAAAAATGGGTGAAACATATAACATGTTCCCATGGTGAACAAGGTGAACTTGTCGTTTAATACAGTATTATTGGAGCCAAAAAAGGGACACACATTGCTCAGCTAAAAGGTATTAAAACCAAAAAGGAGAATAGAACCTGTTTTTGTTAGGGCAACAGGGCAACATAAAAACAAAAGCTAAATGTGTTCTCATTCTTTTGAAAGTGACAATGCAAGCCACAAAAAATTAATAAACAAAAAATAATATCAATAGTAATAATATTAATAATAATAAAAAAAACAAACACCAATGCACTGCAAATGAGAAGTGGATAAACCAGTTCAAACAGTCCATAGACAATGTGATAGTCATGCAAAGTAGGTCCTATTCTATAATATATGGACCCAATATGTGTGTGAGCTGTAGCTTAAATGATGGAACATTGGAGCAGAGCCTAAAACAAGCGCAGGCCAAGTCCTTGTAGGGCTAACAGCTGAGAGTAATGAGAACAAAGTTTATATGGCAGAAACAGAAAAAGGGAGAAAAGGAAGCAAAAACAGGCAAAATGAAGCTAAAGATTCAGCTGTGAATGGTAGACACAAAGTATTTGCTGAAATCCCAGCTGGAGGAGAGTGGGACTAAAACAGGAGATACACTTGAGAGATTTCAAAGCTGACTCACCCAGATGATGTAGGAACTTGGATTGTGAAGGCACAATCGTGTGTGTGTGTGTGTCAGGCTTAAATCCTCCATTATGCAGGAAAGGGCTAAACAAGGGCAGAGTCTGGGCAGCCAGTGCAAGCGAACAGGGACTAGGCTATGCCAGAATCACTATAGAAAGGGAGATGATACTTGTAAGAGACACCATACTGGGGCTGGAATAGTTGGGGGGTTTGGGGAGGGGCAAAAGAAAAAATGAGAAAAAATACTGTAAATAAATGGATAGATAAATAGAGAGATAAAATTAGATGAATGAATATAAACAGGGACCATGCTAAGCCAGTTGTACTGTGGGGAGTGAAGTGGTAGGTATGGAAAAGACCATACTGGGGCTGGAAGGATTAGAGGGTTAGGGGTGGGAAATGAAACTAGACAAATATGAATTCCGCTATGCCATCATCACTGCAGGGAAGAAATGGTAGATATAATAAAGATCATACTGGGACTGGAACAGTCAGAGGGTTGGGACTGGGAAAAAAGGGAAAGAAAAAAAATATATGTACATATCCACATATCTATGTATTGCAGAAATGCATGTGAGCAATAACTGTGCTATGTCAGCAAAACTGTGGAGAGGGAGGTGGTAGTTGTATGTAAGAACTTGCTGGGGATGGCAGCATCAGAGAATTGGGGGTGGGGCAAAGGATGAAAAATATGAATGTATGTATGCGGTAAATGTATG